GATGGGTGACAGATTTGGTTGACAGCGTGAATTAAAAGTTATTATTATATCAACTGGCAGGCGTTTTGATGATTATCATTAGCCCTTTAGTTGACTTCAGGCTTCACAGAGGAGAAGGAAAATCAAAGTGAAAAGAGTCGAGAAGGGGGGAAAGAAGAGTATTTCAAAGACAAAGGTAGATAAGGTGGAAAAAAGGTGGGATGAGTACTGTGGAAGTAGTCGAATATGACATACAGTGGGGTCATGGCAGTTTGAAGCCAGAAGTCAACTGCCAGGTAATAGACTTTTTTGCCGTATGAATATGCATTACCCAGGGTGCACCACGTGGAGGTAAGTCTATCACACACCCCACTCTAATTAAAAGTAAAAATATTTACCCAACAATTTATTAACAAAGTATACATTTTGTATTATCAGAAGAACAATTGCATAATGTTACGAGCTTGAGTTAATAAATTAGGAAAGAAACTTTTCATGTTCTTAAATTTTCCCATAATTTGGGGAAATTACCTAATAGCCGGCTTCAAAAGTAATTCACTCTTCGTCAAAATTTTTCAATGTTCCAGTCTTAATATGCCATTGACGACTGGAACATTTTCCCAGAGGTCAGGTCAAGCAGCGTAATGCCAAGGTCATGCAAGAATATCACGCTTTCAGACCCAGCGGAGCAAAACGAGTAGATTGGAATGAACGGTTTAATCAAATCGACAATATGGGAAAAAATTTTAAACTAACTTTCGGGAACATAATGGATGAGGCGGTTGTTTAAATATTCAAAAAAAATGTAAATGCCAAAAGGAGGCAGGGAATGATTTGTTTTAATTTCCTTCTTCTTATTATTTATTATCGACCTCTTCTTTTCCCCAACTTCACTTTTTGTCTTAAAACGGTGGATCTTAAACTCAATTTACACACCTTCAATTTCAGTTATTGTATATTGAACTTTGACTGAAAGTCTTAGCAACTAGAGCGATTGAAGCCCTAGAAAGTCGCTTTACTTACTACAGAATGAGCAAGCAGTTGACGTCATTGTTCCCTCTCCTTAAAATCAAATTGAAGAAAACAATCTCAAAATAAATTGTACTTGCAACTAAAAATCTGAAGTCAAATCAAACAATTATCTCGCGAATTCAGGAAAATAAGCCATAAATATTAAACAATCAAAAGTTCATAATGAGTTAGATTCAAAAAAATATTTCCCCGTTAATTAAATTAGCATCCTCATGAATTGTAAATTAACACAAATAAACTTTGTGAGAAAAAATGGGATAATATTGAAAGCCACTTAGGGCTGAAATAGATGATTTTGGGTGATTACGAAAAATGGAAAAGGTCAAATTGGTGGGAAGTTCCGGTGGTAGATGACGCATCAGTCGCCTTCGAACCAAACGCGCGCAAAATGTTCACTTTTGCGTTTATCCCAACCAATTAGATTTCAACTTACTGATCGATTTCCTCCTTGTCCACCCAAACCTCTGCACATGCACACGCACACACACACACCCCCACACGTAAACGAACGCTTACACATTGCACACACACTCGTCGCGCTAAGGTGTGTACATAATCCACAATAACGCGTCTTCCCACCTTAAACATTTCAGACCATGGATTATCGCGGCAATTCCACCGCTGTTATAAATAACAATCCTGGAAATGAAAGTACCATTAATGACTACCTCTCTGGCTCCATCTCTGCTATTACTAGCCCAACAGGGGGCCGGGGGTCAACTCGATATTCAGGGCAACCCAGTCCTTCCTCCGTGATTGAGGAGCTTCAAGGTCGTTTCCAGAACTCATCCCGGTTGAGAGACAAAAGACCCATTTTGAAGAATGGTCCAATAAATCAAGACTACTCTTCACCAGTGTACCATCGACGAACTGCCACAGCCATTTCTACATCGACAACCTCGTTGTCCACAAAACCCCATCATCAATCTGAATTGACGCTTCCAACGACTACCTCAGCCGAAATTATCTTCGAACCTCCTACACGAGCAATGAATACCGCAATGACTGTGAAAATGGACTCCAATGGAAAAATGAGAGCTGGAGGTAAAATGTGACCTAAATCGTTTCTGATGGTTTAAATTATATCATATCAAAAGGAGATATTTGATTAAGAAAAAATTTGAGATTTGATTTAACCGAAAAAAAGTGCGAAGTTAGACAGAATTAAATGAGCTTGTTCATCTTGATCTTGTATATCCGGAATATGTCGCTTATACTCCATCAAACTAATCAAATATATTCCAAGTAGAAGTAACAACTTCAGCAGAATGAGTATTTAAGGAAACGCTATCAATAGCAGTTGAAAGAACGCTCTGAGTTTGTTATGAGCTGAAAATTAGATTTGCTTAATATTTAACTTATATAGAAAAAAATTAAATTTTAATTAGTGTTAAAAAATTTTTTTGTCATGATTTCATGCTTCTAGAATGCTGGTGGTTACATAACTAGGGTTTTTTTGTGCCAAATACTGGATCGCTTACAAGAACTTTCCATTTCAAATTCTTAAAAGAAAAAAATTCAGAGTGTAACGATGGAATGTTAAGAGAACAAATATCAGCATAATTTAATCCTCCTATATTTGTAACAAATTAAAATTACTTGGAGTTTATTAAATAATAATGCCATTTCGTACTCATATGAGTGTGATATGGAAAATGGCTAAGTTACCTGTGGCATTACTTCAATTAATGCTCGTTTAAATCACAAAATATCAATTTGGCTTGCATGTTAAATTTACTTTAAAGAAGTGCCCTCATAACTTCTTTTTTACTAATAATTTTTATTTATATCAAATGGCAGGCGTTTTGATGGTTATCATTGGCCCTTTAGTTGACTTAGGGCTCCACAGAGGGGAAGGAACATCAAAGTGAAATAAAGTCGAGAGGGGGTGGGGAGGGAACAGAAGAGTGTTTCAAAGACGAAGGTAGAAAGGTAGAAAAGAGGTGAGGTGAGTACTGTGGAAGTAGCCGAATATGACATACAGTGAGGTGATGGCAGTTTGAAGCCAGAAGTC